ACCTTAGCTACGAAAACCAACTGGGTGACTTTGGGCCGATCACCAGGAGACGGTGAATTCTAGTCTCGCCTCAGCCAGGTAAAAGTCAGCTGAGTGACTATTTGGGCCACTCGCTGTCTCTCAGCCCAGTCTACCTGACAGGGTTGTTGTCGTGTGGAAAATAAAAGGAGATATATTCGCCACCTTGAGTTATTTGTAAAAATAATAAAGGCAGGTTCCAAATAAATAAATGAATGTAAATCAAGGAATATCTGCCATACGCTGGGGGAGGAGGGAGAACGTTTTGTACACAAATAGTTCTGCCTTCGGCGAAGATGCCCAGAGCCTCGGCTAAGCGTGGGCGAGCCTCTGTGCTGAAAAAGGCCTCCAATCCAAAATGAATTTATTTTTATTATATATTTTTTTGCAAAGAGGCGGAAAAAAACCACCAGATCCAGTCATTCGTTTTTCCCTCCCCCCCATCATATTTGATGCTCTGGAGGGAGATGGAGATTAAATAACCTAAACAGATTTTCTTCTCTCTCTGGGGGCAGACAGGAGGGGGGGGAATTTTTTTGCAATTCTTTTTAAATATTTTCTTTCTGGGTTTTTTTCCTCCCTCTCTCTTTCTCTCTCTCTCTCTCTCTCTCTTTTTCCAGATTGCACTTCCACGTGGACCCCTGCCATGGCTCTGACTCACAGCTGCTCGCCCCCGCTGTGTTTTGCAACAGCTCAAGGTTGGTACCACTCAGCCAATGCTTAACTTCCCCCTCTCCCTATCTCTCTCTCTCGCTCTCTCTCCCTTTCTCTCCCTTTCTCTTCTCTCTCTGTCTGCCTCTGTCTCTCTCTGTCTCTGTCTCTCTCTCTCTCTCTCCCCCCCTTTCTCTCTCTTTCTCTTCTCTATCTGTCTGCCTCTGTCTCTGTCTCTTACTCTCTCTCTTTTTCTTTCTCTCTCTCTCTCTCCCTTTCTCTCTCTCCCTTTCTCTCTCTTTCTCTTCTCTCTTTGTCTGCCTCTGTCTCTCTCTGTCTCTCTCTCTCTGTCTCTCTCTGTCTCTCTCTCCCTTTCTCTCTCTCCCTTTCTCTCCCTTTCTCTCTCTTTCTCTTCTCTCTCTGTCTGCCTGTCTCTGTCTCTTACTCTCTTTCTCTTTCTCTCTTTCTCTCTCTCCCTTTCTCTCTCTCTCTTTCTCTCTCTCCTTTTCTCTCTCTCTCCCTTTCTCTCCCTTTCTCTTCTCTCTCTGTCTGTCTCTGTCTCTTTCTCTCTCTGTGTCTCTTTCTCTCTCTCTCTCTCTCACTTTCTCCCTGTCTCTCTCTCTTTCTCTCTCTCTCTCTCCCTTTCTCTCCCTTTCTCTCTTTTTCTTCTCTCTGTCTGCCTCTGTCTCTGTCTCTGTCTCTCTCTCTCTGTCTCTTTCTCTCTCTCTCTCTCCCTTTCTCCCTTTCTCTCTCTCTCTCTCCCTTTCTCTCCCTTTCTCTCCCTTTCTCTCTCTTTCTCTTCTCTCTCTGTCTGCCTCTGTCTCTCTGTCTCTGTCTCTGTCTCTGTCTCTGTCTCTGTCTGTCTCTCTCTCTTTCTCTCTCACACACACACAGGTTGTGACTCCACCAAAGATAGCAAGCCAGCATTTGGCTCTGATTTTAGGAAAAGGGACTTAATGCCGTTTCCCTTTCAGTGTGGCTCTCTTGAGGGAAAAAGCCTGGAAATTGAAATCTTTTTTTTTTTGGTCTTGTTACCCTAATGCTGGCTTTACCTAACCTTTACAGAATACAGAAGAGTTGGAAGGGACCTTGGAGGTCTTCTAGTCCAACCTCCCATCCGAGCAGGAGAACCTGGAAAACAGAATAACAGAGCTGGAAGGGACCTTGTAGATCATCTAATCCACCCCCCCCACCCTACCCCATTTCTGACAGATGGGAGTCCAGTCTCTTCTTGAAAGCCTCCAGGGATGAAGCTCCCACAACTTCCGAGGGCAACTTCTGTTCCATCGGTTGATTGTTCTCACTGTCAGAAAATTTCTCCTTATTTCCAGGTTAAATTTCTCCTTGTTCAGTTTCCATCCATTATTCCTTGTCTGGCCTACAGATGCTTTAGAAAATAGCTTGACCCCCTCCTCCTCTCTGGGGCAGCCCCTCAAATATTGGAAGATGCTCTCCTGTCTCCCCTGGTCCTCTTCCCTAGACTATCCAGGCCCAGTTCCTGCAACCGTTCTTCAAATGTTTTAGTCTCCAGTCCCCTAATCATCCTGGTTGCTCTTCTCTGCACTTTTTCTACAGTCTCAACATCTTTTTTTTATAGTGTGGTGACCAAAACTGGATGCAGTACTCTAGGTGTGGCCTTACTAAGGCTTTACAGAGTGGTATTAGTCCCTCCCTTGATCTCGATTGTATCCCTCGGTTAATGCAATTTAGGATTGCATTGGCTTTTTTGGCAGCTGCTGCACACTGCTGGCTCCTATTGAGCTGGTCGTCCACTAAGACTCCAAAATCCCTCTCACAGTCACTGCTATTAAACCTGGTTTACAGATACAGATTATTAGAGTTGGAAGGGACCTTGTAGGTCATCTAGTCCAACCCCCCGCCCAAGCAGGAAGACCCTACGCCATTTTGGACAGATGGCAGTTCGGTCTCTTCTTGAAAGCTTCCAGGGATGGAGTTTGCACCCAGTCTGTATGTGTACTTTTGGTTTTTCTTGCTTAAGTGTAAGACTGACTCTTCCATCTATTCCAGCTCTCCCGAGGACTTAAAGAAGACCCGTCCATCATCCCCTGACCAGGATGACCTCCAACCCAGCCTATGACTACCCTGAGCCCTATGCCAATCCCCGGCAAGGGGCCGTGTCCCTGCCCCATAACATCAGCCTCGTGGGGCGACTGAGGCTCACCCAGCCCGTTTGGCTCCAGCTGGGCATCAATTCAGCCACGGCCCTCCACATCTTGCAACGGGAACCGGCAGGGGTAAGGACCGGGGGCTTAGGACCTGGGAGGAGGAAATATTGGATGAAAAATACATACATGGTTGGAAAAGATGATCAAACAACACCGACAGCGTTGGGAGCCATATTGAGATCAGATGCCCCCATGAGCCTGGGAAAGTGGGAGGGGGGAAATTTCTTGGAGTGTATGTAGTTAGACGTAATAACATTCTTTTTTGAATTCAAGGTCAGGTTGTGTTGCACATAAGTGAGGGGAAGTCTCAAGTTGGGACGGGTAGTGATTGGGGCATGTGATATGATGCAAGGCATGGATTTTGTAGTTTTTGCTTAATGCAAGGAAGCCCAGAACTTTCAGATTTGGGATTCCCCGGATGTATGTGCCAGTTTACTATCCAAAATAAAAAGAACTTTTCAGAAGATGTCTGTCTTGGAGTTATTGGTTGGAGTGGAGGTTTGCTGGCAAACCTATAGATCTGAAAACAGAAATATTTTTGTTGGGTATAATGCCGGAGGGCTACGATAAGGGGACTATATATTTAGTTTTGCATGTATGGATAGCAGCAAGCAGTAAGTCAGCAAGGGCGGATCCCGGCACAGCTGATCGTCAGAACAGCTGATTGTCGGGAGGGGAGAAAAAAAAAAAGAAATACCTTAAGGAGTGACTGGGCAGGGGAGAACGCAGCCAGCGATGTCATGCGATAAGGACTGACTGGGCGGGGAGGGGAGGGACGGGTGGAGAAGGGTGGGGCCAGCCAGGGCCACGGTTTGCCGGTTCTCCGAACTGCGCACAATCATAACAACCGGTTCTATAGAACCGGTCTGAACTGGTAGAATCCCACCCCCTGCCTCTAACACCGTGATGGTGAACCTGTGGCACGCAGAGCCATTTGTGCAGTCAAACTTACCTCACTGCGCATGCGCGCACCTCCCAGCTGAATTTTGGCCCATTTGAGGCCTTTTTTGGCCTCCCAGTGGCTTGAGGGAAGCCTCTGCAGCCTTTGTAGGCCGAAAACCAGATCCGTTTTGTCACTTCCTGTATTTCTGAAAATACTGGAAGTGACAAAACGGGCCTATTTTTCGGCCTCCAAAGGCTGCAGAGGCTTCCCCCGAGCCTCTGGGAGGCTGAAAAAGACCTCAAATGAGCTGAAAATCAGCTGGGAGGCGCAGTGCAGGTAAGGGGTGGCAGGTGGGAATCACGCTAGCATGTGCAGGGGGCAGGGGGGCCGTACGCATTGCCTTCTGGGTGCTGGCACACGGCCACACAATTTTTGGCACAGGGGCCCCCAAATGGTTAGCCACCACTGCTCTAACATGACCCGCTTTCTCGCTTCCCGCAGACATTTCTGGTGCGAAGATCCAACACTCGCCAGTGCCAGGTTCTCTGCCTCCGTCTTTTGAATGGTTCATCGCCTGCTTTTGTGACGAATTACCGTTTACACGAAGAACGGGCAGGTAAGAGCCGGTTGGCATTTTTTTTGAAAAAAGTAGGGAGACACCCATGAAATTGGAGTTGCAAAACTCACTTGATTTAAACGGACAAGTAGATTCTCTGTATGGTGTTTCTCTGCTGGACATTGTATACGGAAAGTCCTGGACTTACATCCATTCGTTTAGTGACTGTTCAAAGTTACGACGCCCCTGAAAAAAAAAAGATGTATGACCATTTTTCACACTTAACGACCTTTGCAGACTCCCCATGGTCATGTGATTAAAAATCCAGACGCTTGGCCACTGACTCATATTTATGATGGTTGCAATGTCCTGGGGTCACGTTATCCCCTTTTGCGACCGTAAATTCAGTGTGGGGGGAGTCAATTTTACAGGTAATCCTTGACTTACAACCAGAACAGAGGCCCAAATTTCTGTTGCTAAACAAAATGGTTGTTGAGTGAATTTTGCCCCATTTTACGACCTTTCCACCCACATGCCTTAAGTGAGTCACTGCAGTTGTGAACTTAGCAGCACGGTTGTTAAGTGGATCTGTGCTTCCCCCATTTTGACTTGGCTTGTCAGATAGTCCGTCTGTGTGATCACATGAACCTGGGACACTGCGACCGTCATAAATATGAGTCTCTAAGCACCTGAGTTTTGATCACTTGACCATGGGGGATGCTGCAATGGTCGTAAGCGTGAAAAACGGTCCTAAGTCGCTTTTTTTCAGTGCAGTTGTAACTTTGAACGGTCACTAAACGAACCATTGTAAGTCGAGGTCTACCTGTGTTCTGCATTTTTTTCTTTTTGCAACAGATTTGCAGATGAAAAATAAATGCAGCTCTTTAGAGAAGAAGAAAAGGCCTTTTTTCCCTCTTTAATATATATATAATCATTTTATATATATATATAATTTGTTTTCATAGATTTTCACAGGTACAGGTATGCAGGTCTTGGCATGTTCGGGTCTTTTTCCGTGTAAGATTGAGAGTATCTTGGCAACGTTTCGACGAGGTCCCACTCGCCATCTTTAGGCTGGTGCTTTTGGCTTTGTGCTTGTGCGAGCAAAGCCGAAAGCATCAGCCTGAAGATGGCAAGTGGGACCTCGTCGAAACGTCGCCAAAATACTCTCAATCTTACACAGGAAAAGACCTGAACACGCCAAGACCTGCACGTATGTATGTATGTATGTTAAGTTTTCACGGGTATTTATATGTATGGTATTCAGCTTTGTTCGGGTATTTTCCCACGTCATTATAGTTGTGCTTTTAAAGTTGTA